AGATAGATAGATACATAGATAGATAGATAGATAGATCGATAGATAGATAGATAGATAGATAGATAGATAGATAGGTGGGTAGATAGATAGATAGATAGATAGATAGATAGATAGGTAGGTAGGTAGGTAGGTAGGTAGGTAGGTAGGTAGGTAGATATATAGATGGAAAGATAGAGAGACAGAAAGAAAGATAGATAGATGGACAGATAGGGTCTCAGGATCTAGGATGGTTTTGGGTTTAGGGGTTGCGCAGGCGGGAAAACTTTCGAGTTCAGGGTTTGCGGAATGGGTTTTAAGGTTCAGGGTTGAGAGTTGAGGGTTCTGTAGAGTTTAAGTCAAACCTAAACGCTAAACCTTAATACATCCTTGAACCCTAAACCCAAGTTAAGGTTAAGGATTGAGGCTCCTGGTTTTAGGGTTACGAACGTTGGCTTTATAAGGACGACCTTTAGGGTTTAGGGTTTAGGGTTTAGGGTCCTGCTACAAACCCCAAAGTCAGAGTCCCAAATCCTGCGACCATGACCTGGTGCAACCCGAAGCACCTAGTCAGCCAGAATCTAAAACCTTCACCCGAAACCCCAAAACCGCCAAACCCTAAAACCCTGCAAGACTCTCGAAATTTACAGGCTTCAGGATATTGGCCATTTCGAAAATCCGATTCTGTTTCTGCAAGAAGGACCCTAAACCCCCAAACCCCTAAACCCTAAACGCCTCAATCCCTGAACCCTAAACCCCTCAATCCCCGAAACCCGTAAACCCTAACAGCTGCTGAACGGACCTAACCCTCAAACAAGAAGGAGAAGAAACGGTACCGGACCTTGACATCCTCCTCCGGGCTGCAACAGCAGTACATGGGGACGACCTCACGGAGGTTTCGGGGTTAGGGCTAGGTGTTAAACCCTAGACCCTATAAACCCTAAGCCCTAAACGTTTTGTCGTTTAGGGTACGAAATGGGCCATTAGCGCTCTGTATTCTTTTTAGGAGCCGCGATCGAGGGCTTTGGCTGCCTTGATGGGCCTCACTCATCGGGGGTGTGGGGAGCGTCTCAGCCAAGGCGTGCTTGCAGATCTGCGTGGAGGTTGGCAACTGCACCGTGTCAGTGGATGGCTGAGTGATCGTGTTGCCAGGCCACTGCGCTGCAAGGCTCAAGGCAAGCATCGAGCACACAATCCAGCTGCCTGGCCGACAGCATGATCCACGCATGTGCTGCAGCATTGCAGCAGCCGTCAGTCACAATCCAGTTGCGATGCCATCAATCAGCATGGCCCAGCAACACTCTTGCGATTGGGGCCACGTCTGATCGTTTGGTAGTGGGACAGCGGCATGAAATAAAAGCAACACCATGCAGTTTCGAGTATTCGGGAGTGTAGCAAGGAGAACCAGAGCCCGTACTTCCGCACCCACAGAATCACGTCATTCATGGGGCAACATGGGGCATGAGTGGTCTCGGGGGTCGGGTATCTGGGTCTATGCTGCAAAGTTTCAAGGCTCAAGGCTTTTCGGGCCCGGCTTAGGGTAAGGCTAAGGGTGTCTTCGGGTTTCAGCTCAAGATGTTACTGTGCTTGGCATCATGTCTGTCCTCGATGGGGCGAAAATTATCTAACTAAGTGGCGCAAAAGTCTGTGACAAGCTCTCATTTAAGAACAAGTAGCCCTAAGGGTCCAAGTACCTAATAAACATATACTCTTCTGAATACTAACCTACAAAACTACTATCCGTAACCCAAGTATATGATTATTAGGTCCTTTGGACCCTTGGGGTAGGTGACAGCAACTGTTTAAGAAAGAAGAACAGCTACAGGGCCCTTCTTGCTGCTGTTTAAGACTTAGAGCGAAGTTTTGGGGTATGTTTTAAGGAAACCCCAGAATAGTAGAGGTAATTCTTAATGACGGCGAAGCCTCAAGTTTTCCTCTCCCTGCCCCAGCTCGAACAGGTGACCCTTGAAGGGTTCATGATATCTTGAAGTTGGGAGCCACATGTTGCAGAGTAGCAGCCTTTCACGCAGAGACGACGTAGCATGCTCCGGCATCCGTAACACCCTTCCTAACAACAGTACTCGCCAACCTTGTGTTGAGGATGGTCCAAGGAACTCGCTGTCTGTTGCTCTCAGCAGAACTCTGCTTGCTGCACCAAGTCTCCATGTTCTTCCGAAGTGTCAACATGAATTCAGCTGTGCATGATTTGGATAGCTGCTCCGAATTCCTTCTCAATCTTCTTGTGCTCTTCCAAGATCTTGTCTGACGTGAGCAACAGAGGCTTGTCCTTGGAACCACAAGCCCAGCAAGCAGCATGGTAGACCTTGCCTTCATGTAGGTTGCGAGGCAAGGGCATGGGCTGGCCAGACAAAACCCTAAACCCTAAATCCTAAACTCTAAACCTGCACCCTATAGACCCTAAACCCTAAACCCTAAAACCCGACACCCTAAACCGAGACTGCAACCGGAATGAACTGCTCACCCTTCCCTACAAAACCCCAGGGCCCAAGCGTGCTAGACCGTCAGGAACCCTAAACCCTGATACTCCTAACATTAACCCCTCCTCCACAACCCTAAACCGTAAACCGTAAACCCTTAAAGTTCGAAAGCCCCTACGTAAGTCACACCAGGGCTCCCCCAAGACCAAAACCCCCAAAGAAGCCCCCTACGTAGAACCCCGAACTTAAAGCCTAAATCCTATATAAACCCTAACCCCTAAACCCCTAAACCCTAAACTGTAGACCCTTAACCCGAAACCCCCTTGCACAAGTGCACCCTCAAAAAGTCGGAGCGCCCTCCAGAAACCCTAATGACAGGAATCCACGGTTTAGGGCTTAGAGGGTTTAGGGTTTAGGGTGACCAAGGCTTGAACACACCTTTTGAAACCGTGGAAAGCACTTGCCCTAAATGCCTATGAGAGGCTTTAGGTTGGACTCAGACGCTTAACCCTGAACCCTAAACCCTTATAGTAGGTCTTGTAGAACCCTTTAAGGAACCCTTTAAAGGAACCCCCAAAACCCTATTCTAATTAGTAAGGCCCCTACATAATAAAACCCAGTATAAAACCCTAAACCCTAAACCAAAGCCCTAAACCCTAAACCCTAAAACAAAATCGGCCCTAAACCCGTGGCGCCTCGCCCTCAGCCGTGAACCCTTTGGGTCCGGCGTAAGGCGAACGTCTCGAAGGGAAAAAGGCTGCGGATAAGAGAATGTAGTGCAGGGGCCTTAATAATTGGAATGGGGTTTTGGGGGCTATTATACCATAATTCTAATAAGGAACCCTCAAAATAGTACAGGTAATTATTAAGGCCTCTTTATTAAGGATGTTAGGGTTGAGGGCTCTTCGGGCTTGCGGAAGGTCTTAAGACTCTTAGAGGCTGCCACAAGGGTGTTTACAATTCTTTCTTCAGGGCTTGAAAGGGCTTATGAGTTTTTTGCTGGGCCTTAATCATTTCTGATTGTTAATAACCTGGAGAAACAAGGGGTACGTTTCACTGAAAATCCGACCCGAATCTGTGGACTGCTTGCAGGCAAAAGCTCGATCAAAGCCAGACGCGTGAACTCTCAAACGCTACTGCCCTCAACCCCACGAAATCCCCAAACCCTGTTACGAGTAGAAAAGCCCGGTAATGTCGCATAAACAACTGGGCTTTGAAGTAACCAGG